ATTTATGCCTCTAAACGTTTTGATCGATTGTGACTGCTTCGCGTATACGAAGCCACGAGGTTTACGGTCGCCGCGATGGAGACCACTCGAATCGGAGTCACTGGACCCGATATCTCAAAACAAGAAAGTCGGATTAGAGCCTCGGGGTCCGAAAGCAGCGTCGCACTGCCTACTTTAAGAAGTCGCGCGACAAGACTATCGCTATTCAGTTTGTCGCTACTTTGTCGTCTGATTTTTTTTTTAACTTCACTATACGACTTTTTCATTTTATAGGTTTTATAGGTATATATATATATAGAACAGTTTGAATATCAACTCCCAAAGGTGGCGCCTAGTCATTTCTACAGGGTGTTTTAAAATAAATTGGGCCCCTGACGTATATCGATCCAACGATTAATTTTAAATTTGCCAAAGTTTTGGCGAATTTTTCGTAAACCTTCCTATTCTGAATTAGAAATGTGTCAATCGATTGCATTTTTTCACCATTTTTTCCTATCCATACAATGTATCGATTTTGCAAACAGTCTCTCACTTCTCTTACATAGTCATATGGTGGCTCGTCCTGTTGCCGTACCATATTTGGAATCTTAACAGGAGGAAAATGAAACACTATACATTTTGCAAAACATTGCAACTCCGCGTATTTGATAAAAATATTTCAAGGTTGAATATTGCGTGAGAAAAATTATTACTAACGAAAATATGAATCCCGCTAATGTAGCTTTTTTAACCACCCTGCATGTCATTGAGCGACATTTGCGACAATACAAAAAAATTAAACTGGAAACAAGTTTCGTATTCCCACTTTTTTTTTATCACACCCATATATGAAAAGATAACGACCCTTTGTAAAATCCAAAAATATTTTCGCGTTTGCGATGTTGCCGGTTCTACCCGAAACCAGTCTCAACAGCGAAATTTCAAACGTAACATGCAGTTTGATAACCCTGTACATTTTTTATCATGATCCTTCTTCGATAAAGTGTAATATGTTGGTGTAATAAGTAGAGTTCGGATTTTTATGGACAGAAAATGCTTAAAATATGCGGAGAAATATGTCTGGTTTTTTCAAGAAATATGTCAAATATATGCTTTTTTTCTACCATCTATGTACTTTTATGCCCTTTAATTTTTACATATATTGTTTAATAAAAATCAAGAAAAGAACCAATTGACAATTGAATACTGTTCTAAATTTTATACGGTTAATTTTTGTCTTTTATCGCTTAATATGCTTTCGTACTTGGATACTTAAATGATGCAAGATGTTTTGGTTAGTTCAGTGATAAATGTTTTGAACTTTTAGGGAACTTTTGAAACGCTTCATTGTTTGTTGTTACAGTATTAAATTTATTAAGAATAATTTTCCCTAATCTGCTTGGAAATTTTTTCAACAAATGTTAGCACTCTTTCCATATAAATTTTTAGTTTTTTTAATTGAATCAGCTGAATCTGAAACGTCTAATACAATGTTTTTTATTTGATTAAAGTGATTCGCGTGAAATAAGGTTGCGTCTAACCACGTTCCCCATCGAGTAATTACGGGTTCAGGATGTAAAGGAACATTTGGCAATATTTCTCCATAAACTTGAACTCGAAGAGATGCTTTAACAAATATGTTTTTATCGTTTGAAATTAAAAAATTAACTAATGAAAACTGACATCTAATTTCCTCAGCAACTCTATTTATCGCATGCGCCAAGTCGCAAGTCACGTGGATTCATTTTTTATATAAAAAAAATTAACTCTACTTTGGTCATATACTCTGCTGCGTCGGTGACTAAGAGTAGTATTTTATCAGTTGGTAGTATATCTGGAGCAGAAAAAGCCACTAAGCTTTCATTAACAAATCGAACAATATCTATACTGTTAGTTTTTTCCAATTGTTTGGTGCTTGTTAAAAAAGATTCTGGTAAAACGTTTTCAATCAAAACACCAACTAATAAATTTGCAACATAGCGACCACAAGCACCTGTTGTCTCGTCTAGAATAATGTAAAGATGCTGATTTTCAATATGATTTCTTATGTCTTGAATTACATTTTTGTAAAAGGAAATTTTTTCTTAATGTACTTTCATGAGGTACATTTTTGTTGCAAAATGTTTCTAAAATCTGTTTAAATTTAGTATTCTGTACCTTATTAAGGGGAATATTTGCACCTAACGGCCCTTCACATAAGTGTAAATTAAAATTGTCTAATTTTCACAAGAGGTTGTTAAAATCACATTAAATAAAAGAGGGTTTAATCCTTAGGTAATGGTATTAGAAGGCTATAAGGCTACATTTCATTGTTAATCTTAGTCGTTTAGAAAATCCCAGTAATATACTAATGAATAGGTCAAGAATATGGGATATTCAATTTATGTACAAGTAAAAATATGTACTTAAGCTTCATTTTATGCGAAATATGTAATTTTTTTATATGGTTAATCTAATTATTTCATTCTAAAACGGATACATCCAAAATATTGGGCTGATATTCCTAAGAAGCAAAAAGGATGTTTTTTAAATAAAATCATAACCTTTAATTTTACTAATACATTGCAGGATACAGAGAAGTTGCTAATCAGCCAGTCCATGTTTTCCTTTAAATTCATTTTAAAGAATAAAAAAATAAACAGCAAGGTTGTTTATATTTATGTGGCTATTTTTGTGTGGACACCCTATTACAAACATTTAAAGCACAGAAGTAAGTAAAATGTATTTTTTTAAAGTTTTTTATATTAGTTATTAAACATTGTACTTCTACCATTCAACAAATAGAAAAGGCAACATTTTAGAAATATTACCATATTGTCTTAACTTCCACAGGGTGCTTTTAATTCTTCTCGCAACTTATGATCTAATTAAAAGTATAATCAAACGAGACGCAGATTGCCCGTTAACGTGCACCAATGCATAATGCAACGGATAATGATAGTCTATATTAAAAGCAACACATTAGATCTTCGCTCCTAAACGGAGATCTATATCGAAGTAGGAAATTATCCGCGAGTCGTATTTCGAAAAAACTTCATTCATTCCTCCCAGCGCAATACAACAATTTAGCTCTAACGCCTTTGTGACTGACTTTTTGTAATTTTCAAACGCCCGGGGCGTACGTAGGCATGTCAAGTTTGGATTGACAGATTTGCACTTTATGTGGTACGGGATGGTCAGTCGAAAACGAACTTTCTTTCGTTGTTGCTTTTGTGTATATTTGTTTTCATGAATATAGGCAGATTCGTAGTTTTTGTTGTTACTGGAATGTCTATTTTTTTTTTCAGTCTGTTTCTTTCAATTAGATGAACACAAATGACTATTTTTTGCAATTTCAACTACAATGAGAAGGATCTACCATAAGCGGTGAACTGGTCAGTTTTATTGGTTGTTGTTGTATCTATTGTTTTTATAAAATGAACATGGAGTAAGGTCACGTTCGTTAGTTACTGTTCTGTTTAGTTCTTTTAAGTAAATGAACACAAACGAACACTTTTTGCAATATTCTCCATATTAAGAAGGGTGATCTGTTGGTTAGTTTTGGTTAGCATTCTATACATTAAAGAGCATCCACAAATAAAAGAAAATTGAGCAAAATAAATAAGAACTAAAGGTTCAGATTTTCACAAAATTATATATTTTCACATGACAATTGTTTCGACAACACTGTGTCTTTATCAAATATAATATTTACAAACTACAAGGTACTATATATACCGAAAAATGATAATAAAACCTTAATTAATGTTGTTGTGAGAATTTAAGTTTAATAATGGAGAAGTATTTAAATCTAATTGATCGTTAAGCAATACATTTTAAAGTCTCATTTTGTTAATCTCCATGGCTTCCAATAAATTTAAGTAAATGTTTTCTATGGTGGTACAGATACGTGGATGATGTCTTTACTTGCTTTGTTGGAACGGACAGACAATTGAATTATTTTTTAAATTACATTAACTTATTACATAATCGTATAAAATTCAATATCGAGATTGAACAGGATAACTCTATTAATTTTTTAGACTTAACTATTACGAAAACGCAAAACAAGTTAGATTTTTCCATTTACCATAAACCTTCACACATGGACTTTTTTCAATGAAAATAATTTCCAAAATTGTTGAATAATTAATTAAAAATAGGATCGATCGGAAAGTCCGTATGGAAAAAACAACGAAACTAGTTTTTAAAAAAGTCGGAAAATGAATTAGATTTCCACGTATTTCCCCCAATTACCTAAATATTTCCAAGTAATTCCCTATGTTGCGCCATATTTCCCTTCATTATCCTGATATTTGCAAGAATTTCCCTATGTCTCGCTGTATTCGTAAATATTTCCCCGTATTTCTCTATTAGGTTGGCGTATTTCCTCTTATTGTCCGAATATTTCCCTGAATTTCCCCATGTCTCGCCGTATTTCCTCGCATTACTCATTGATGTAAAGATTATGCTTGCTAATGAACTGGTCACTTCTGTTGATTGCTGTTGCGTCCATTTTTTTTTTAATTAATAAACAGAGAGAATCAATAATTCTTCAAGCAGCATCCACCAATAAAAATAAATTGTTCCCTCTTGTTAGTTACCGTCCTCTCATTTCTTTTCATTAAACAAACACAAATGATTATTTACAATAAGAATGATCCACCACTTAACATGAACTAGTCACTTCTGTTGATTGTTGTTGTGTCTATTATTTTTGTTAAATGAACACGGAGAATCATTCATCTATTAAGGATCATCCAACAATTTGTATGTCCATTTGTTTTATTAAATAAAAGCGGAAAATCCATTTCCTGCAACATTCAGGGGCAACCCCCAATCAATGCAGATTGGTCACTTTTGGTCAGTTACTGTCTTGTCTATTTCTTTTTATTTTTTTAAATGAACAAAAATTATCAATATTCTGCAATTGGTATTAAAGAGGATTCACCACTAGAGATGAACTGGTTACTTTTGTTGGTTGCCCAGGAAATTTTGTTACTGTCACAATTAAACACGTTTGCATAAAAAATTGTTTTATTTCGTTATTAATATAAAAATACCGTGTACCGGCTCGTCCTACACTTTCAAAAATGCCTCTTCGTACAATTGAGATAAAGCTATCAGAAAATATTAGTAAAGAAAATATAAAAGCTATATTGTATTAAATAACTGACGACTCCACATTAAACTAAAATAAAATTCAACAAATTTATTTACAATAATCCTTTCCTACACCTATTTTTCATTTCGATAGAATTTAAAATGCAAAAAATAATATCCATATATATTAAAAATTAAAATAAACAAACAAAGAGTATAAAAAAATAAAAACACGAATCAAAATTTAAATTATTATATACAGAGACAAAATAATAAGTTGATGCCGGTACAAAAATATGTACAGAACGCCTCTGATTATGTTATTATTTCCAATTAGCAGTGTGAAACCGTCTGAATTTCGTTGTCTTTTTCGCTATTGTTATTATTATTTATAATCCACAGGGTGTTTCGCCGTTGATGGTGAGATTTTTTATCGGTAAAGATTTCAGTTTTCGGTATCTCCTCGTATTACATAAACATTTTCCCGTATTTCTGTATATTTTGACGTATTTCCTCGTATTATCCAAATATGTCCCTGAATTTCCTTATGTTTTTCCCTATGTTCTCGTATTACATATTAATGTTTATTATAAATTAAAAAAAAGATAGTTTGATAAAAATAATTTCCAAAATTATTGAATAATTAATCAAAAATAGAATTGTTCGGAAAGTCCGGCTGGAAAAAACGACGAAACTAGTTTTAAAAAAGTCAGAAAACGAATTAGATTTCCACGTATTTCCCCCAATTACCTAAATATTTCCAAGTAATTCCTTATGTTGCGCGGTATTTCTCTTCATTATCCTAATATTTCCATGAATTTCCCTATGTCTCACTGTATTCGTAAATATTTCCCCGTATTTCTCCATACGTTGGCGTATTTCCTCTTATTATCCGAATATTTCTCTGAATTTCCCCATGTATAGCCGTATTTCCTCGTATTACTCATTGATGTAAATATTATGCTTGTTAATTTCAATTGAAATTCATGTTTCAAAAAATTAATAAAGCAAAATATAAAAAATTACAGTTTTGTAAAAATTATTTCTAAAATTTGTGAGTAAATAATGAAAAATTGAGTTCTTCGGAAAGAATTTAAAATTATATTTCTACGCATTTCCTTGTATTACCTAAATATTCCAACGTGATTGCCTACATTTCGCCGCATTTCCGCGTATTCTCCGAACATTTCCCTAAATTTCACTACTTTTCGTCGTATTTCATCCGATTGCTAAATACAAATTTAGCACACATTCTTACCTACTTAACTGGTAAATATGTCGATAATTAAAAATTAAAAAAAAAGACGCTATTTCATCTTGATTAAAATTCTGACCTTCCATCAACCGCGAATCACCCTGTATAATGTAAAAGAATGGATACGTCCATTTGAAATATTGAGCGTATGGCCCAAATCCTTAGTAAGGCTTCACGCTGGCTATTCCGACCCTAGCATTCGAATTCGAAGCTGTGCTGTTCGTCCTCTGCAACATTTCCGCGTAGTACTTATTATTCACGCCTTTTTCCATCCTCAGCTTGGGTTCTGCGTAGCTGTGTCTGTAGCCAGCGGGCACCGATTTGAAGAATTTCTGCGGATGTTTCACGAATTTCGGGTCGTATTTACCGTCGGACGTTTTGTCTAGGTTCAACGAAGATTTCGCATAGTTGTCGACAATCGGCGGGTTGTACCTGTAAAATCGTGATCTATAAAAATCGGAAATGAAAATTACCAGTGGAAATTATCTCCCAAAATGTTTATAAATGTTTTACTGAATTACCAAGTACTTCTTCGTATTACTGAAATATTTCTGAATATTTATCTACATATTGTCGTATTTTCTGGTATAATCCAAAATATTCCCCAGAATTTCCCTATGTTTCGCCCTATTTTATATTACCCAAATATTTTGCCGTATTTCCACGTATTATCAAATTAATTCACTCAATTTCCCTTATATTTTACCTAATTACCCAAATATTACTAATATTTCCCTATGTTTTGGAGTGTTTCCTCGGACTACTAAAATATTTCCCAATATTTATCTATATTTTGACGTATTTTTTTATATTTCGCAGTATTTTCACGCATTACACAAATAATTTCCTGAATTTTTTCTATATTTTGCCGCATTTTTCTCGTATTACCCCAATATTTCCCCTAATTTTCTTAATTTTGGCAATATCTCCTCGTATTACCTAAATATGTGACAGCGTTTCTCTATATCTCCACGTATTTGCTCGCATTACCTAAATATTTTTCTAAATTTCCCCATATTTTGCGGTATTTTCTTGTCTCACTTAAATATTTCCCCTTATTTGCTTATGTTTCGCAGAATTTTCTTGTATTACCGAAACATGTGCCCGCATTTCTTTATATTTTGAAGTATTTCTTCGCATTATCTAATTTCCTAAATTTTCCTCTTTTTTGCAGCATTTCCTCATAGTACTCAAATATTTCACTATATTTTGACATATTTCCTCGTATAATACAAAGATTCCCCTGCATTTCTTTAGGTTTCACCGTATTTCCTCTATTCTTATATCGTATTTTCTCGTATTACTCAAATATTTCCTCGTTTTTCCATGTTTCGCCGCATTTCTGAATTTTGAGGTATTTCCTCATCTTATTCAATTGTTTTACTGAATTTATTATGTTTTGGCGCATTTGCTCCTTTTAAAAAATATTTAGCTGAATTTCCCTGTTTTACCGTATTTTTTCGTATTACCCAAAAATTTCCCCGTTTTTCGATATGTTTCGCCACATTTACACGAATTAAGCAAATAATTTCACCGTATTTCTTAATATTGAGGTATTTCCTCGTATTATCCACATATTTCCCTGAATTAACTGCGGTAAATTTCCTCATTTTATAATATTATTTCTCTGAATTTCCCTGTTTCGCCGTATTTTCTCGTACTACCCCTAAGAATTTCACCGAATTTCAATGTTTTGAGGCATTTCCTTGTATTTATCTAAATATTTCCCTGCATTTCGTCATTTTATAGAAATATTTCACTGAATTTCCATGTTTTCCATGAATTCACCGTTTTGTCGCATTTCGTCATTTCATAAAAATATTTGCCTTAATTTCCCTGTTTTGCCATATTTCCTCGTATTACCCAAATAATTTCATCGTATTTCTCTGTTTTGAGGTATTGTCTTGTATTTACCCAAATGTTTCCCTAAATTTCCTGATTTTATAAAAATATTTTTCTGAATTTCCCTGTTTTGCCGTATTTTCTCGTATTACCACAATATTTCCCTCAATTCACTACGTTTTGTCGCGTTTCGTCATTTTATAAAAATATTTCTAGTATTACCAATTCAATGTTCAATATGTTTCAACGTATTTCCTCGTATTACCCAAATACTTTCATAGTATATCTCTGTTTTGAGGTAATTCCTTGCATTTTCTCACATATTTCCCTGCATTTCCTATTTTATAAAAATATTTCTTTGAATTTCCCTGTTTTGCTGTATTTTCTCGTATTACCAAAATATTTCTCCGTTTTTCCATATCTTTCGCCGTATTTCCTTGTATTACCTTACATTTCTAAAATTCGAGGTATTTGCTCGTATTATCCAAATATTTCCCTCATATATCATAACATTTCCTCATATTTTCAAATATATCTCCAATATTCCCAGCATATTGCCCCACTTTCCCCCATATTTCGTGATATATCCTCATATTTCAGCCATATTTCCTTAGTATTTCCCACAGGCAGTACTTCCCGGGTGGTTTCCCTGACGGAAAATTATCAATCCCTTACCTGTCAGACTCCGGTAAATCGTCGAAGTGTCGGTTTTTCGTATCCCGTTCGTTATCGCGGAAATTGACGGATTCCCCGTCGAAACTTCTAGCGTTCACCTCCATATACGATCTCCGTTTCAGCTCTTTCGCGATCTCGTTGGAATTTTTCCTATGCTCCTCTTCGATCAAAGAGAACATGGACCTCCGTTTTGGGTCGAACTTGTCAGTGTTTCGATATCTGCGGACAAATTCGAATCGTTTACGGATTGCGAAAAAACAAATCTCTGGGTCTCACGTCAATGCTGAAACATTGATTTTAATTTTGGTATTATATTTTTTTTATCTAAAAACTCCCTAGAATCTGAAGAATGGAATTTTTCATCACCTTTAAGAATACTATTACACCCATTATTATATTTTAAATATGTGCTTAACTAATGAAATTTGGTTTTTGTTTCTTTTTTTGAGTAATATTCCAGAAAAAAATCTTTATATTCAAGCTAAGCTTTAGTGTTTTGTCGCATTCAATAAGGTAATACCTTAACAATTTCATTCTATATCTTAAGCTGATGACATTCTATCGCAAGGTTCCAAATATATGCCAAATTAACCACATTTTGTTTTGGTTTTTGAGTAATATTACAGAAAAAATCTTTACAGTCGAGCTAAGATTCCGTGCTTTATTGCATTCAATAATAAGCTCTAAGAATACATGGCTTTTTATTTAAAATATGTGCTTCATTAACGACATTTGGTTTTCTTTGAGTAATTTCACAGAAAAAAATGTATACAGTCAAGCTAAGCTGCCGTACTTTGTTGCATTCAATAAGTCATAACCTGTAAGAGGAATATTTAACTTAGGGTCCATATTGTAAGTATATTTTAAATGTATGTTAAATTAACCATATTTTGATATTTTTTAAGTAATATTCCAGAAAAAATATTTACAGTCAAGCTAAGCTTCAGTATATTGTTGCATTCAATAACGCATAACCTTAACAATTAGCTTGTTTATTTTAAGTAATGTTTAATTTTAAATGTGTGCTTTACTAGCCACATTTTGTTTTTTTTTTTGAGTAATATTGCAGAAAAAATCATTACAGTTATGCCAAACTTCCGTGTTTTGTTGCAATCAATAAGCCATACCCTCTAAGACGACTAGAACACCTAGTTTCAATATTTTAAATGCGTGCTTAAGTAAGCACATTTAGTTATTGTTTTTTTTTTTGAGTAATATTCCAGAAAAAATCTTTACAGCCAAGCTAAGCTTCTGCGCTATGTTCTATTCAATAAGTCATTTAACTAGGATCTAAATTCTAAATTAACCATATTTTATTTTCTTTCAGTCAAGCTAAGCTTCCGTGCTATGTTGCATTCAATAAGTCATAAACTGTAAGAGGAATATTGAACTAAGGGTCCATATTGTAAGTGTATATATTTTAAATGTGTGTTAAATTAACCACATTGTGCTTTTTTTAAGTGATATTCCAGAAAAATATTTATATTCAAGCTAAGCTTCAGTGTATTGTTGCATTCAATAAGTCGTAACCCGTAAAAAGGTTTATATTGTAAATGTATATATTTTAGATGTATGCCAAATTGAATACATTTCGTTTTTTTTGCGTAATATCTCAGAAAAAATCATTACAGTTAAGCCAAGCTTTCGTGCTTTGTTGCAATCAATAAGCCACACCCTCTAAGACGACTAGAACACCTAGTTTCAATATTTTAAATGCGTGCTTAAGAAAGCACATTTTGTTTTTTTTTTTTTGAGTAATATTCCACAAAAAATCTTTACAGTCAAGCTAAGCTTCCGTGCTATGTTGCATTCAATAAGTCATAAACTGTAAGAGGAATATTGAACTAAGGGTCCATATTGTAGGTGTATATATTTTAAATGTGTGTTAAATTAACCATATTGTGGTTTTTGTAAGTAATATTCCAGAAAAATATTTATATTCAAGCTAAGCTTCAGTGTATTGTTGGGTTCAATAAGTCGTAACCTGTAAGAAGGTTTATATTGTAAATGTATGCCAAATTGAATACATTTCGTTTTTTTTGCGTAATATCCCAGAAAAAATCATACAGTTAAGCCAAGCTTTCGTGCTTTCTTGAAATCAATAAGCCACACCCTCTAAGACGACTAGAAAACCTAGTTTCAATATTTTAAATGCGTGCTTAAGGAAGCACATTTTGTTTTTGTTTTTTTTTTGAGTAATATTCCAGAAAAAATCTTTACAGTCAAGCTAAGCTTCCGTGCTATGTTGCATTCAATAAGTCATAACCTGTAAGAGGGTTTATATTGTAAATGTATGTATTTTAATTGTGTGCTAAATTAACCATATTTTATTTTATATTAGTTATATTTCAGAAAAAATATTTACATTCAAGCTTCAGTACTTTGGTGCATTTAATAAGTCATAACCTTAACAATTAGCTTGTTTATTTTAAGTAGGTGACGCTTCATTGCAAGGTTTCAAATGTGTTTAAAATGTGTGCTTGTTTTTTAAGCAATATTCCATAAAAAATCATTAAGCTTCCGTGCTTTGTTGCAATCAATAAGTCACACCCTCCAAGACGACGGCAACACCTAGTTTCAATGTTTTTTTTTGAGTAAATCTTCGCCATGAATCACCTGAAAACTTACCTATCCAGAGGCGTATCTCTGTCGTTATATTCCCTATAGCGCGCATCATCCTGTGTGTGTCTCGATGCGGGCTTACATGTGAACTCATCAACGCGACTTCGATCGTTAAAGTAGCTTAAACGAAAAGAGTGCAGAAAACGTGTCGCGACTAAACCAATCGAGAAGGTACCTTTCGTCGTAAGACCTCCTCAAGTGGTCCTTCGAACCATACGCCATGCTCTGGTTCCTCTTAAGGTAACCCGGAGCTTTGTCTTTGTGGATCGTGGGTGAGATCGGCGGCTCCGGTCTTCTTCTTTCCTGCTGCAGCCGTTCCCTCTCCATCAGCAGGAATTTCTCTTTCGCATCGTTGAATCTGTCGCGGGGTGCCTGTAAGTACGACAAAGTGCAACTTGAGTTATATGATCCAATGATCGAAGAGCTACTTTGATCTCGTCGGGAGATGGTGTCCTTTGACGGTACTGGGCGCTTCTTCGAACCCTGCTGGCGTCGGAGTCTTCGAAATATTGCCTGTCCGTTTCACCGCGATAGCGATCAAGCTCCCTCTCTTTCGCTCTGGGCCTTGACAAAGGAAGAATTAGTTCTTAATATTAAGATACACTGGCATTTTTTCGCAGTTTTCTATCTAAAGATTATTAGTTAGTAGAAAGCTAACTTCCACACTTCGTGAATAACGAGAGCAAATTTTAAGTACAAACCATATTTTCCATATAAAATTAAAGATATTGGTTTCTTGGTATGATGTGGAATAAAAAAGATGTGTAATTGTTTTTGGTATAAAGGGATTGTTACTTTTATAAATTTACAATGGTTTTCTACTCAAATATTTATTTGGTTAGCGGAAGTAGAAAACATTAAAAAATAAATTCAGCCACTGTTGCGATTATGAAAAAAAAAAATGCCAGTAAGTGAAAATGATATCAAAATATCAAAAATTTCAGGAGTTTTTATATGCAACTTCACTAAATGGTGTGTATTAATTAGAAACACACTTTTTTAAACATATATGTACGGAAAAAAAGATAGGCTTTTCTTTTGGGAAATTGCGAACAACTGCGAAGAATAATTCGTCAATTTGCGAATTGTATGCTGTGTGTTGCTATTATCTCAATGTTTTAATGCTATTCATAACCGTAAATATTTTGTCACTGCTTGCTATGTAATCAATCAATCCATCTATGAATAAAAAACTATTCACAAAATAAATAAGAACTAAAAGTTCAGATTTTGACGAAATTATATATATTCGCATGACAACAGCGTGTCTTTCTCAAATGTAATATTTACAAACTACCTGCTATATATACCGAAAAATGACAATAAAACCTTAATTAATATTGTTGTGAGAATTTAAGTTCAATAAAGGAGAGGTATTTAAATCTAATTGATCGTTAGGCAATACATTTAAACGTCTCATTTTGTTAATCTCCATGGCTTCCAATAAATTTAATTTTCTGCTTTTTGTGGCTCTATGTAAAATATCAAAATCGTCGTCAAAAAGGTTTTTTTCTTTGTTTAAGTGTGTAGCATAATTAGAATGGAGACTATTGTTTTTAAAAGCTCTTTTATGTTCGTTAATGCGTTTCTTGAAGGATCTACCTGTTTGTCCAATATAAATTTTAGGACAAGATCCTCATTTCAACCTGCAGACACTTGATTTTTGAGATTTTGGACATTTCGTTTGTTTGTTTTTTAAAATTTTTCCTATTGTGTTGTTGGTTCTGAAAGTTATTTTTTAACCACATCTTGACAAATGTTTTGAAACTTTTTCAGTTTGTTCTCCTATCTATGTAATTGTTTTAAATTGTTCGGGTTGTGTATTAGGTTTCGCATAAATCGACTTTACTGTTGTCTGGATTTGTTTGTTATTTATAATTTTATCGATAATGGATGAATTGTAGCCGTTGTTCGGTGCAATTTGTTTAATGATATTAAGTTCTTTGTTGTAATTTTCTGTTGATAGGGGCGTATTAAGACGTCTGTGTATAAAATAGTGAAATGCACCCATTTTGGGTGTATAAGGGTGATTTGAGCCGTTATGTATGACTGTGTCCGTGTGTGAAAGTTTATGGTAAATGGAAAAATCTAATTTTTTTTGCGTTTTCGTAACAGTTAAGTCTAAAAAATTAATAGAGTTAGTGATAGTGAATTTTATATTATTATGTAATGAGTTAATGTAATTTAAAAAAGAATTCAATTGTCTGTCCGTTCCAACAAAGCAAGCAAAGACATCATCGACGTATCTATACCACCATAGAAAACTTTTACTTAAAGGATGTTTTAGTATGATATTTTCCAAATTATCAATAAAAGTCTCGCCAAAAAAGAACTAAGTGCGTTTCTCATAGTCAAACCTTCCTTAGACATATAAATCTGTAAATTTAATTCAAAATAATTTTGGTCTAAAGATACTATTAAGCAATCTAATAAGTCTTGTTTCACACAGGGGTTAACCTGTTTCCGAGTGAGGGTGAAATCTACTAAATCTATCACATCCACAGGTGGAATACTGGGAAATAAGTTTTGTGCATTAAAAGACCATACTGTTGCGTTAGAACTAACAGAATAGAACAATTTTTAAAAAACAATAAAACGAAATGTCCAAAATCTCAAAAATCAGGGGTCTACATGTTGAAATGCGTAACTTGTCCTAAAATTTATATTGGACAAACAGGTAAATCCTTCAAGAAACGCATTAACGAACATAAAAGAGCGTTTAAAAACAATAGTCTAGATTCTAATTATGCTACCCACTTAAACACAGAAAAACACATTTTTGACGACAATTTTGATATTTTACATACAGCCACAAAAACTACTTTATTAAATTTATTGGAAGCCATGGAGATTAAAAAATGAGACATTCTAAATTTTCCGATATATAGTAGCATGTAGTTTGTAAATATTACATTTGATAAAGACATGCTATTGTCATGTGAAAATATATAATTCCGTGAAAATCTGAACTTTTAGTTCTTATTTATTTTGTTAAATGATTTTACATCAAGTAAAAGCTACCTCAGTTCAATTTTTAAGGTATGGGTAAAAAAAGAAAGGAAAACAATTCTTAGGAATGAGTTTAATTACTAATAAATAGTTCTGACTCTATTTAAAATGACATTGATGATTTAATTTTTCGAATAATAAGAATGAATTGCTGATTTCGATGCATACATTCTCAGTTCATTAAGTGGCGAAAAATTAATTAATATCGCCAACTATTAACCCAAAAAGGACGTTTTAAGTCGATATCTACTGGTTTGTTGACGTTTTCGTTACAATAAAGGCCGATGACGCAGATTTTGACTAGTATTTGACCAATATTCACAAGGGTAGGGTACTTGTAAAGTCTTACTGCAAACCAAAGTATTTTTCCGTCTCGTAGTCTTAGACGGGAAGAAGGGTAAATTATAGGTACATAACATAGTTAATGAACGTTGTAGGTTTTTGTAAGATCCCTCGGAAAATGCTATGATGTTTTTGTAATTTGGCTTCATTTAGACTTTAAAAAATAAGCCTCAATAAAAGTTTATAATTCATAGCTTAAAATTATTACAATTCATTATCTCATAGCTTTAAAAAGTTATGAGAAAACGGTAAATACAAAAGTTGTTAACATTGTGAAAGTTCACGATTTAAAACTATTTGGAAGGGTACAGGGTGGCTCAAATTCCTTTTAAATTTTTTCAACTTTTTATTAAGAGACCGCGAAAAGTAGAAAAATTCAAATATGGGAAAAACTATTAGGTTTGGGTATGTATTATCATGAATATAAAAAGTTGAAGAATTTTATTTGACTTGATTGACTGTCTGCGACTGTAAAGAATTACCTCGCAGGCTTGTCAGGTTCGGGTTCGTAGTATCGCGGATCTATCGGGTCAATTTTTTTTCCCCGCCTTTCCTTGCTACCACTAACTCGCTTTCCATCGTTGTCTTTCTCTAGTAGACTTTCTCTTGATTTTGGAACGGGATATTCCCTATACTCTTTATGGTGTTCAAAAAATACGTCATCTTCATAGAAATATTGGTCACCAGCACCATTCTTGTAACTAAAAAAAAGTCGAGAATGTTTGGGACATGATCTACAAGAACTTACTGCAGATATTGCCTAAATATTGCCCATTACGAATTATTTCTAATGTAAGTTTCAAAAAATATATATTTTGAATTTTCATTATTTGTCTTAGTTATTTTTTTCTTATTTTCTTTAGGTTAAGATAAGAATGTGCTTAATTAGAATAAAATTAGAATATGTAATAAATGAAATAAAAAATATTTGTTAAAATATTTTTCTCATTTATTTTTTTATTTTCTTTTGGAATTGTATATTGTATGTTGAGTTCTATTTAAAATACAAAACCCATGATGTACACAATGCCCAGTACATGTGAAAAATCAAAAATAAAAAAAATCTATATATTTTTTGAATTTTATTTTTTTATTTTCTTTTGGAATTGTATCTTTTGTTGGTTTTAGTTATTAAGTATAAATAAGAATGCACTTAATTTGAACATGGAAATTTGTGATGGGTATTGTGAAATAAAAAATATTTTTCGACGTATAGTACTGGGGTGTTAATTTTGCTGGCCAGTGTATGTCTACATTTTCCAACTGAATCCAAATATGCAATAATATATAGGGCGTTGTATTTAGAATATAAAACTCCAGATGAACACAGCGCCCTATATATGTGAAATATCAAAAATAAATAAATCTATATATATTTTTTAACTTTCTCCTTTTCTTCTTATTTTATTTTGGAATTGTGTCTTTTGTTGACACTAGTGCTAGGATAAAATAGGAATGTACTTAATTAGAACAAAAAAAGCTATATATTTTTTGAATTTTCCTTTTTTTCTTTTGGAATTGTATCTTTTGTTAATACTATTATTAGGTGAAAACTAGAATGCATTTAATTGGAACATGGAAATTTGTGATGGGTATTGTGAAATAAAAAATATTTTTCGACATATAGTACAAAAATAAAAAATAATCTATATATTTTTTGAAATTTCTTTTTTTCTTCCTATTTATTTTCTCCTTATTTTCTTTTGGAATTGTATCTTTTGTTAATACTATTGCTAGGTTACAATAAGAATGTCCTTAATTAGAACACGGCCATTTTTGATGGGTATTATGAAATAAAAAATATTTTTCCATTTAACTTTTCTTTCCATCGTTCGTAGTTCCATTGAAAAGGGATTGAGGACGCTTACTCCTTCGAACCAAACTTACCGTATATTTTCGTCAAAACCGTCGTCTTCAAAATACGGTTTGTCATTCTCTTGCGTCTCCTGATCGTAGTACTTTAGGCCGCCCCTTTTGCTAGGGAAATATTTTTCCGTTTGATTCAAAAAGTCTCTGGGTCTCAGTTTCGAATCCTTCTCCTTATCCAATGATTTTTGCCTCTCGAGGTACTTGTTGCTCGAAAATCTCGATATGGGCTTCTCCAGATACTTCGTGATATCATTATGGATGTTTCTACTGTAGCCCTCTTCATCCAGAGACTTGGAAAATTTCAATTCTTCATGAGCGTATCTAGAATTTTTTAAATACGGTTTATAACATAACACACATACACACACACTTCGTTCCAAAACTAGCCAAATTTTTCCAATTTAAAAATATGTGATTGCAGATAAAAGCCGCACTTTTCTTTTAAAATTTTTTTGAAATTATTTAGTTATGTATGGTTTTTATAACTGCAAAATGCTATTGTTTTACATTATACATTATACGGCAATACTAATTTTCCACTGATGATGATTTGTATGTTTTGGGGAAAAGAAAATTGTAAAATAGTTTCCATAATTTCTCGACCACAAAACGTATCTGGAATAATTATCCAATATCTTGTAAACCAGTGGGGTATCAATTTCAATTTTTAGAAAGTTGTTTTTAAATCATAACAAAATATGACATCTCAAAAATTAATTCAAAAATGTTGTGCGATAGAAACAAATGAAAACATTGTTTTCCTATTAGTTAAGTCCCCGTAACGCCAAAAGAATGAAAAATACCAAATCACAAAGTCTTTGTAGGCCTAGGGGTCGAAATATTTACCTGGAAAATCTGTGGGCTGCCTCCGGTGATTTTTCGACGATCTCTTTGGTAGCTTCGCCATTTTCTTGGTTTCTGGATGGCCTGGGCAACGTCACTGGATGCGATGGTTGAATGAGGTATAGGGATGAATCGGCCTGATTTCCATTCCAGTCCTCATCTTCTGTAAAAGAGGATAAATATTAGTCCGAATTTCTGCCAACATTTAAAGCGCTGTAGCACACTGCTTGCTTTATAGATTTGTCTTTATATTATGTATTTGACATTTGCCAAAAATATTTATCCATTAGTTTTTGTGTATTTAAAGACTTAAATAATTTATTTCGTGTCATATTATCTTCTATGTACTTGATATTAGAATAACTATAATTATAATTTTACTTTAGTCGCCAAATTAGTATTCTTATTCTATGCAAATTAGTGTGACCCTAACTTAGTCTAAACGTCTTGAACACTGATAACAAAATTTTACAATATAAGATATAAGTGTAATAGAAACATAGCGGAGATTTGCGACTAACCTTCTCTCAGAATCTGTTGAAATAACAAAAAAAAATCAAGGACAAAAATTTGGATTCATTTACACTTCAAATATTAATTATATACAGTGTATTTGAATTCTCGTGGACAAGTGAGCCATCTAAATTAAAAGTAGTAAAACTACACTTATTTATCCAATTATTCCTGAAGACAGTTCCGAACTAAAAAACATAAAACATTTTTAACATATATATGAAAAAATATATATTTATCTTGTCTCAAAAAAATCAATAAGACAGTAATATACCTATTGACGTAAAAGAGACGATATTATTAGAAATCAAACAAAAAGTTAAAAAATCCCTTTAATACCTAAAACCTCCAAGAGTCAGTTTTATAATCAGATTGTATTTCGAATTGGATTGTGAGTTTGGAAATCAATGTTATGTGGCACCAAACTTTCTATTATTAAGGTTATTTTAATAAAAAAAATTAGTGTAAGTGATGTAAATCAAAAAGATTTGGAAAGAAGCTGCATTCAGAAATTCTTTGATAAAAATCGCATGTACCTTATAATATAACAATTTAATATAAAATGTGTACATTTTTCTATAGCTTGTTAATCATTGTATAACAGTGTTTCATGTAAGTTTTTATACATGTTTTTTGGACAAATTTAAAACCTGTTGTGTGAACAATTAATTTACCACGTAAGATTTATAAAATTTATATATGTAAAGTTTTTGAGATTTTTTTTTTAATTTATAAACTAAAATAAAAAATGAAATATAAAAAAATGAAAATAAAAATTTAACTTATAAAACTCAAAATAGTAATCCAAACAACTTTTTTTTTAATATTTTGAGATAAAGTATCCACGCAATGTTGCCAATACTATACACTAGTACTATATCACCCTTATTTATCACAATTTAAATTATTGGAAACAAAAATGTTCTTTTCTCCCCAGATATATCTGTATACGTATATTGAGTATTACGATTCGTCAAAGAAATATTTTTTTTATTGCCTTTGTTTTCCGTCACGCTGAGATTTTTTTTTTGAATCGGTTTTTGCCATCTCTGTCACAATGATCAGTGTTGACCCATCGCGTGGAAACCCAGAGAGCACCGCAGATATCCAAACGAAACGGTACGCGCATTAACTATTGTTACCCGAGCACCATATATAATATACCTTATTTTCCTAACAGCATCCTTTGTTCACTGTCAGTCGGCATGAGAAGAGGATAAACTATAGCTAGAGGTAATAAGATAAAAATTACATATTGTGCGCAGTAGTAATCGGGAATCAGGAAGTTTGAATAGTCGGCAGTAGTATCGGAAACAACAACTTGTTCGGAATATATCCAACACTGCTATGTAACACCAGAGTAACACCAAATCGTAGGAGCTGTCTAGATAATATTTTCACAAATTTGGATGTCAATGAACTGCCTGTTGTAATACAGGCTCACATCTTTTTGAAAAAGCAGTGACATGTTGTGAAATGATCGTTGAAAAGAAGTGTTCACTTATATGGTGAAATGGTATTTTTTTATTGTTCCACACTTTCAATTCAAATAAGTTGGCCATAAAAGGTGCAATTTTGACCATGGAAAGCGAAAACTTGTGAATTCGTTCTGAACTTTATTAGAAATGTCCTCGCCTGTGGTGGTTAAATATGAATTTTTATGAAAGAACATAAAAAAAGGAAACATACTGTAGACCTTAAACTGAAGGAACATAACATAAAATAAAATAACTTTAATAAGAGAAAAGTTTGTGAAAAGGCAACGCAATTCTAGAAAATATTTTTTTTCCTTTATTTCTTTCTTTTACTGCTACTACTACTAATAATGAAAATAAAAATGAAAGCAAAGCTATGTCCAACCTGTTTTATTCATAAAGAAGAAGTTTATGATTTGCTCAGAAATTCTTTTATAAAAATAATATTTTCATAATTATGTATATTTTAATATAAAATTTGTGCATTGTTTTATAAGAGTGTTTCATGTGGGTTTTTATCCATGTGGATATTTTTCGGAAAACAACTTTTATACCAGGTACAATTTATAAAATTTGTAAAAAAAATTGTCAAACGACAGTAAGCAATAGATACCATTTCTTTAGTGTTTAGTTGTTTCACTAATTTCTGAAGTCTGTAACTTTTTGAAATATTACACTTTATACAGAGTCAACTGTTTCCATGAAAACATTTTTTTTAACGATTTAGCAGCGGTTATGCTTCGTGATATTTCTTAACTAATTCCGGCACCTTAACTATTTTTCCAAAGCAGCTGAAATTAGGTATAATTAAACCAGTATATAATATAAATCGACAAGAAACTTGGACATAGGTTTTTTTAGATTTCATTAAGAAGTTTGATTGTTGAAACCTTGCTGCGTGAAATTGAAAGATATAGTATTCAACTGAATAAAATAAGACACTTCCAATAGAAACTAGCATGTCACTGTTGTATTAATTCTGAGGACGTCAGTTTTTTTTAAAGACGCTTTTTAAAATAAATTTTAAAAAATATTTTATTACCGCTAATCGAAACAACTGACAAAACTGAGAAGAAGATACTGATCAATTTTTTATTGAAAATATAAAATTTTGAAAGCCATCTGCTGCAACGCATTGTTGCCACCATAACGATTGCCAAATATTTTATGGTTAATATCATTAAAGTTGTTGATGTTGATGATGGTGATACATTGAAAATATCCTATTGATTCTTGATTTGTATTATTATCGTGAGGTTATAAACAATCTTAATGTATTTATGCTTTGTTTGCCGAATTCTAACAAATTTCCAAGCCAGGAAAAATTTTCAAAGGAAATTGCCGATAACCAAAAGTATTGATCAGGATATTGCGCAATTCTAATCCACGCAATGTCGCCGATACGTATCAATTTCTACTGCGGAGCCAATTTGAAAAAAAAATCTCGTAACACTCGACTGAATATGTACGAAAGTTAAGTTCAATAACACCAGGAATCGCTACGATGAAAAAAAGAACGAAGATCACGCAGGGCCGTATCAGAATTAACCGTTCAAATAGTCAAATCGAAATGTTTTTCACCCAAATCTGTTTAAAAATCATGTTTAACGCTTCTTTTATATATCACAATACCATTTGTTTGTATTTGATGATAGTTTAGAGAAAATTATGCGTTTTTCTAATCATTTCATGATTTTCTTTAATAAATAAAAGTTATAGAACTCCCTTAAATAGTTTAAAAATTTTTAGGCCTATTAAGTTGCTATTTTTTAGTTCCAAACAGATCTTTGTATAGGGATCGAACAAAAAATGGACACACTCTGTACAAAGACTTACGTTACATATTGTTCAATCATTTATCTTAATAGAATCAATTATTATAATTATTATTATATCCTTTTCATCTGTTGCCGCTCCAGTAGCAAATATCAGGCGCAAAACCACCAGTACGGTCCCGTTCGATCCGACAGAGAGACGAGACGAAAATAATCAAAGGAAGAAAACTCAAACGTGCAAAAAATGCGATAAAGTATCGAGAAACCGACCGTAACCGCAAAAATACCAAGCAATAACAGGATTAATATAACATGTTGTGGCAGAAGGGAGCAAAAAACTAGCGCAATTTTCACGTAACTTGGAATTACGTAGGTCGACCCGATGTAAGCTTTATATTTCTTATTAACGTTTCTCTATTACATCGGTTTGTGGTTCCATTCCGTTTAAGCGTTCGTGTTTTGTATTGGAGGACCAAAAAGTGACGAACGTCCATCACCTGTGGTTTAGACAGAGAGAGAACTGGATTTGTATAAATTAGAAACACACTTAATTCTAAAACTAAAATAGTGCACACAATTGTGTCTACGGGATTTTTGAAAAAAATTTAGTTATCAATTATTTTTGTTGTTGTTAATAAAATTGTTAATATGGTATTGTTGAATTATTAATTATATTATAAATATTTGTGATAATCGCAAATAATATTTTGTCACTGTGAGATTTTAATGGTTTTTAGGTCCCAAGCTATTTAGAGAACTAACAGCGTTTATAAACAAGATTGCTTTCGAAAAATCGTCGTTACTGGGCGAGGCAAGTTCGTAGCGCGTATCAGCTTTTTATTATAAAAGGAAAGACCTTCGCTGTTTCCCGTGGTAAAGGAACGCATTGTTTTTCTATCGTGCTTCTGCGGACCACTATGGAACTTTCGCAAAATCGATGTAATTTAATTGTGCATGCACCCTGTATAAAATGTCCTTCACATCTCGTCAAAATTCAAAGTTACAGCACACATCGGTAAATATTAAAATTTGCACAAATAATAGCGATGTCGAATGATATTTTTTCAAATATCTCGCGCCCGGTATAATTGACGAAACCTGAAACTCTCTCACGACACGGTTTATGATACTGTTCAAATAAAATTATCCCATCTTTAACGGTTTTTCATTTATCGCCAATAATTTAGCCACAAAAACGGAAATTTTCAGGATATTTTAGATTTTTTGCCCATAAACGACACACCCTGTATATGATTCAATCATTGTTCGAAGTAGAGGTTAGAGCACGGAATTTTGCACGTTTTCTGGTTTCAGAAAAAAATACTTTTTTTCTGAAACCATGCAGCGCGCCGTAATAATTAATGAGATCATCGCTTCTTGACAGCCCCCGAAATAACGAT